AGTGTTCTGAAAAGATTGATACTGCAAGTTTAGCAAATAAATTTTTAACAATTTTTTGAATACCATTCATTTTTTTTATACATTGGATATATTGAGCAATAGCTTATTGTACACAAAACAAAATTGTGTTTATTCCCGATGTAATTTTTTGCATAATTTGCTCTTTGATTGATCGAATGTTACCAAATTGTAATATATTATAGCATGGTACTGCTACAGTGAATCATACAATATGAACTGTCAAATAAAGTGAACAAAGAAGAGATATATCAAGTTGATCGCATGCAAAAGCAAAAACGCAAATTGAATTACTTTCCTGACAATACTTTTATGTTAGTGAATGATTAGATTAAATTTAAATTGATCAATGCTTTGATTTGATACAGTTACCCATTTCGACATGTATTAATTCAAATTATCACTTATTAAATTTAAGCGCGAATAACTCATAGTTACACTGTGCAAAACGGTATTTGAATAATACTCGAATGCAATTATTCTGAAAATAACAATAATCTTATCTTTCAAAATCATATGAAATAATATCACTAAATATTTAAACAATTCAGGTCAGATCAGATTTTAAACATTGATATGATTGATCTATAAATTGTTTACACTCAAAAATATGATTGGTTGGATAAATGCTATTTTTGACTTTAATATTACATTTACAATTGTTCTATTTTATAATGAGTAATTAAGATGAAAATGGAAAGAAAATGATGAAAGAAAGAAAAAAAAAAGAACGTTGAAATTTAGTGCAAAAAAAAAGAGGTCGTTCGATACAAAAGAAAAAACTTCAAAGGAAGCAGTACATTTCATCGTTCATAAATGAGAAAACGATTCTTTCCGTCGCAAAATATGGCAGTGTGTAATGGAAGAGGGACATTTGACATCGTTAAATGAACTAATCATATGCTGTAAATGTGACATTAAATCTTAATTGAAATTTTATTTTTTTTAATAACTAACAACTTTTTCTCACAGATTGGTTCGCCTTTTGACAAAA